AAGGGGCGGTCGTCTTTGTCCGCTCCGACTGGTCCAAGCAGTGGGATACCGTGCCGCCAGCCGAGCTCGCCGAACAATTCCCGTTTCCCGGGCAGTCGTTGGCGTCGGTGCAGTTCCTCCATCTGAACCGCTCGATCCTCTTCCACGGGCACGAACCACTGGACGCCGACACGACGCCGACGCTCGAGACCGAAGGCTGGCTGCTCACCAACGGCTACACCCAAGCCGAGGGGCTCACCAACTTGCATCTCGTCGCGCCGGTCGGCTGCCTCGTGAGCATCTCGTACCCCAAACTCCGCGGCGGCCTCGGTGGGCTGGCGCGCTTTGTCGCTATTTGCCCGGCATCGTGGCCCTACGGTCGTCGCATCGCCTTGACGCCCGAAGCACCCATGCCCAAGGAAGCGGCGCCGCTCGTGTTCTATCCTGGCCACGGCTACCTCCGGGCGCCACCGTCGTCGTCCCGCAACGTTTCGGTGACGACGACGACGACGGAACGAGCGGCGTGCCACGACCTTCGCCTCTGGAGGATGTTTACGAGCGCGTTCGCTCGGGCCAAGCACATTGACCTGACGCACACCATGTCACCCGAGACGCCCGTGTGGTCGGGCTTCCCGACGCCGCCGGCGCAGTTTCGGCGTGCGACGAACGCGACGTCCGGCGAGCCGTATACGTGGGCAGCGGACGGGTTTGCTGGTATGGACTACCGGTTTGAGACCGACCAGTTTGGCACGCAACTGGACCCGCCCGCGCACTGGCACCCGGATTATGCAGCGATTGATGAGCTCCCGCCGACGTTCGCCGTGCGCCCGCTGGTCGTGCTCGGTATTGTCGACAAGGTCAAGGCCGATGCTGGCTACCAGCTTCAAGTCGCCGACATTTTGAGCTGGGAAAAGACGTTCAAGACGAAGATTCCGAGAGGGGCGGTCGTCTTTGTCCGCTCCGACTGGGCCAAGCAATGGGGCGTCGTGCCACCGCAGGAGCTTGCGGCGCAGTTTCCGTTTCCTGGGCAGTCGTTGGCGTCGGTGCAGTTCCTCCATCTGAACCGCTCGATCCTCTTCCATGGGCACGAACCACTCGATACGGACACGAGTCCGACGCTCGAGTCGGAGGCGTGGCTCCTCCAGAACGGCTACACCCAAGCCGAAGGCGTCGCGGACCTCGACGGTGTGCCAGAGACGGGCTGCCTCGTGCAGATGGGCTTCCCCAAACTCCGCGGTGGCCTCGGCGGCTACGCTCGCTACATTGCGATCTGCCCGCCATCGACGCGCATCGGTGTCGCCATCAACGCCGGCGCCGAAACCCCGTTGCCCAAGCAAGCCAAGCTCTTGCGTTACGTCGAGGGCCAGGGGTACCTCCGCGTCTAGTGGATCCCAGCGTTGTATGTGGAGATGCTCCAAGCAGCCGAGACGCAAGCCACATGAGAGAGACGGGGCAAGTGTTGTATACAGTCGAGTGAGCTAGTTGAGCTTGGCCTTGCTAAAGTCCATTTCGGGGTGGGCGGCCATAAACTTTTTCAAAATCTCTTGCTTGCTGAGCTCGTCGCTCGTGGGCAGACCCATCTGCTTCTGGCGCTGGTCAAACTACGCCATGGCATGAGTAGATGCGGTGGATCAAAGGGCGTACCATCATCTTCTCGACCGTCTGACGCGTGTCGCCGTCCAAGTCGCTGAGCTTCGAGTTCTCTGGCTGCACCTTCTTCGTGTTGATCTCCGGGTCGCCTTGGATCACATTCTTCCACCACTCCATTTGGTTTTCCTTTTGGAGGTAGATGCAAATGCGGTTCCCGTCCTCGAGCGTCCAGAACGAATCTTCGACCTTGACGCGCTTGTGAAGCTCGCCGTCGACGAGAAGTGGCTGGCCCTTGAGGCCGACCTTGAGCGTCTTGGCGCGGATGTCGGCAAACACCTGGCGCGACGTCGTGCCGTTGGGCACCGCGATCGACACATGCGCCTCCTGCAACGTCTGCGTCCAGACGTAGTGCTCGGTCTTGCCGCCGTTGCCCTCGAGCGGCGGAGACGCATCATCATCGTCGTCGTTGTCTGCAGGGTTGTTGGTAGGCGCGGGCGTAGGCGTCGCGATGGGCTTGGCCTCCAGCACAGGCGCCGGCTGCTCGTCGACGATCTCTTCAAAGCGCGACTCCATCTCGGCCGCCTTGCGCGCCGCGTCGTCTGCATCCTTCTTCTTCTGGGCCTCGAGACGCTTCTTCTTCTCCTTCTCTTCTTGCTGCTTGCGGTCGTAGCGCTCGCGCTCGGCCAGCGCCGCTTCGCGCCGCAGGACGTTCAGCACCATTTGCTCGACCTTGTCCTGGGACGCGCCGGCGTAGAAGTCGGTCTTGCGGCGCAAGAACGAGAAGACGCTCGTGAGCATGGGCTCAATGCCCTGCTGCTGCTGCGCCATCTGCAGGAGGAGCCCGTCGAAGCGTTCGTCGGCCATCGTCTCGTTGCGGCAAGTCGGAAAATGCGAAAGATTCGCGTCGACGGGCTAAGTTCGACATTCCAGAAAACGTTGTTTTCGGCATGTGCCACAAACAAATCAAATCCATCGAAGCTAGGCCGAGACTCCACGAGACTCAACGAGACTACAAGCAAGGCCTTGCGGGAAGGATACCTGTTGGAGAGCGGACGTCAAAATGATCACCGATCCTTGTGCTCGTAGAAGGTGCTGGAACTTGGTGGCATTCCGCGTACGGTAAAAGCATCCCACCGAGCTGAGAGGCATCGATGGCTCAGAGTACGCGCAGCAAGTCTGCAGCATCTATGGCCTCAATAGATATATGTGCCGTAGGAGTAGACGGCGAGGCCAAGCGAGGTGAAACTGGTGGCACTCGTCAATGATTGCGGGCCACAGCTACACTACCGGTATGACAGCTCTTGGATCATCGAGTCTTGGCATCTCTAACGTCAATTCAAGTACATGGGATCACTTCTTTAGCGCATCAAGGTAGCGTGTTGCTCGAGCAGGCAGTCGACACGTGATCGCTGCGCTGTTTCTGCGGTGCTTGATTAGCATCGGCTAATTTCGGCATCCCAATGCCGAATTTAGACGCGCCTGGTCAAGATTGCACTCTCTCAAGTGCGTATTTTTATAAATCTATTCTTGCTTGTGCATACTAAAGTACTGATAGAATAAATATAGGATTATTTATTAGGTACGCCGTCGGAACAGCATACAATAAAAATACCTTGGCATTTGTATGATAAAGAATGATTCAAAAAAGGTTCGGTCAAGTGCGCTCGCCGGGCAGGTGCAAGCGAATGGAGCATAATCAATTGGCCTCGAAGGATGCAACGGTTCCTGCAGCTCAGCGCCGACGAAGCCGCCAAGGCGCTGCGCCCGACGCTCGTCAAGGGCCGCTGGGTCAAGCCGATGCTGTCGCTCCGCCAGCAGGCCAACGTGAAGAAGGTCGCGGTCCAGAAGGGCACGATTGGTACGTGGACGGCCGGCGAGGGCGGCTGGCTCGCGGCGTGGGACCTGCCCAAGCAGCACAACGTCATGCGCACGCCCAAGGGCCACGCCAACGAGCGCCGTGAGGTCGACCGCGTCAAGAAGATCCAAACCGCGATGGCGGGCATGGACAAGAAGATTGAAGAACACAGAGCCGCGCTCCTCAAGGCCAAGCCCATCAAGGGCCTCGAGAAGTGGCTCAACGAGACGACGAGCTACTAAGTCCTCTCGCCACGACAATATTAGACACCAGAAGAAGAAGAAGAGAATACACTAGATCGTCATTCGATATCGGTAAAGTCGACCACTTCGCCGTCCAGCTCGTCCGGGCTCGTCGTCGCCGTCGTCCGGTGGCTCAACGTTCGGATCACATGCTCCATCTCGGCGATGAGCCGAAGCGGGTTGTCCTTCCCGAGGTCGAGCACGTCCTTCATGACCATCGGGAACGCAGCGTCCGCGCACGCCTTGGTCTGCCACTCGGAGAGGAGCTTGACGACCATCGACACGTACAGCTAGCGCGCCATGAGCGATCGTCATGCAGCCATGTTCTCATACCTGGTTCATGCCGGCGGCCACGTCCTTGTGGCGGTTGCATGCGGGGATGAGCGCGCCCGAGCGCAGCGCGAGCATCGTATGCAGCGTCATGTTGATGAGCACGCACATCATGGGGAAATGGTGCTCTTCGTGCTTGGACGCATAATGGAACTTGGCGAGAATGTACACATTGTCAAGGCCACGAAGCTAGGATCACATGCAACATGCGGCAGGTGAAAAGGATATCTCGTAGTGGTTCTCGATAAGGTAGAGCACTTGGAGGAGCGAGAGCATGCCAGCACCGCGGAGGTCCGTGGCCGGGTCGTTGCCTTGGAAGCCGAGCACTTCCCAGTGCGACCCCGTGAGGGGGCACTCGTTGCGGCAGTGGGTGATCTACATACATCGTATGCTCGAGTTCCCAGCTATGGACGCACCTTCTGGTACACGGTCTGCAGCATGCGGTAGTGCTCGGGAATCGCGCTGTTGAAGCTGCACATGGCAATGCAAAAGAGCAGTTCGCGCTGGTTGCTGGCCATCGGAAACGCTAGCGTCGGCCCGCGGAAGCATGCAAAACACCCGGTGCGCCCCGAGTCGTCGGCGACCACGATGGCTTCGCGGTATGCCAGACAGTAGGACGACGAGCCAAAGTGCTCGAGCGCTTCGTTCCACTTGATGACACGGAATGCGACCTCGCGCGGTGCGTCTTGGAACGTCTGGAGATGTTCCCACTCGGCTTCATGGGCCATCTCTTCTTGACGCTGCTGCGCCAACGCACGGCGCTCGCGGTCGTCTTCTTCGTCCATTGCGTCTTCGTCTTCCTCGAGGAGTTCATGACTTGGCGCCGGCGACGCTGCCGTGTTCGTTATCTGTGCCACTTCCTGGTCGCCCAAACCCCGCTTGTACATGTCGTGCATCTATGTGTCAATCTCTTGATACATTGATACAACGACAACTTCAGTACCTCGGCGAGCACGGTGGGCCCGGTCGCCAAGGACCCGTCGTTGGCAGTCGCAGGGAAGACAGGTGTATCCGATCGAGCATTCTGACTACGCTCGGCGCGTGTCGCCGCTTGCATTTGCTCGAGGAGCGCTCGCTCCGAAGCCTCGTCGCGGGCCTGCAACGCCGCGCGTGTCTTTTCAACGTCGAGCACTTGGGACGGCTGGAGCTCGACGACTTCAAAGTCATCGGCGCCGCTGTCGTCGCGTGTCGACTTGGCCGAGTAGAGCGGTACATCGGGCTCGTCGAACCCGTCACCGATCGAGTACCCCGCGGTTGCTGCCGCCGTCGGTCGCTGGACCTTTTCGTAGGCAATGCCAAAGACATCCGCCGACGCACTGGGATCCGGCTCGTCAAACGCAGAGAACGCGATTGAATCGGTGGCCACCGCTGTCTCTGGCACCATTGCGGTCTCAGCGACGGCAGTCGCCATGGCGGCGGCCAGCGGGTTGGCCGGTGCAGCCTTGGTTATGGTTTGGGCGATCTCGACGTTGACCTCGAGTTCGTCGTCGTCGACCACTGTGGCGCGAAGGTTGAGTGGCTCGGGCACCGGCGTAGCGTCCGCCTACAGAGCATTTCGCACTCAAAAGCACTAAGACTACAAGTGTACATCGTCGTCCTCCGAGTCGGACTCGCTGTCGTGACCGGGGTTGAGCACCCCTTCAAACTGCGTCTTGCTACTCAAAAGACGCTCGGTCACAGGACGCGGCGCGTCGACGGGCGCCGGCGGCGGTACGACTGCATCTTCCTCTTCGTCGTCGTCCATGGACAGTGGCGCCACCATGGTTTCCACTTCATCAACAGTGCTGGGCTCGACGGGCAGGTCGGTCGAGGTCTCGACCTCGACTGCCACAGCTTCGACAACATCGGAGCCTGGCGCCTCGTCGAGGGGCAAGCCGTCTGCGATAGACTCTGCTGCCTCGAGCACTTCTTCCGCCGGTGACGCGACCTCGTCGGTCTCGCCGACATCATCGACGGGTGCAGTGGCTTCATCAGAACTGTCGGGAAACGCAACGACGTGATTGGTGGTTTCGTCAGCGGCCGACATCGTCAATGTCTCTTGGCCGTCGTCACCACCCTCGCTGTTCTCCACTGGAGTGTCGTCGACCGCATGCTCTGGTGCCACTGCTTCGGGAGCGTCCTCAGAATCGAAGCCAGTGTTGCCGTCCTCGGTGCCTGCATCTGGCACTGCGCTGTCTTGTGCTTCACTGACGTCGGTTGCCGCCGTGTCATCGAGAGTCAGAAGCTCTGCAACGTCGCCTTCGTCGGTGGCTTCGCACTCCGCCAAGGCGATCGCGTCGGTGGCGTCCTCGAGCGTTTCCATCTCGTTGCTATCGTCGGCGTTGTCGACAGGTGGTGGCTCGTCCGTTGCCTCTTCCAGCGACGGTGCAGCTGCCTCGGTCTCAAGCGATGGCACATCGATCACTTCCTCATTGTCGAGAGGCAGGACCGCCGCTTCGTCCAGCAACGTCCCATCATCATCAGCTGGCGCGTCGATGGGCTCAACGGCGTCCACGGTCTCGAGGGGTGATGTGTCGTCCGTCACCACATGGCTGAATGGTGCGTCGTCTGCCTCGTCGGTACTGGGCAGTGCTTCGTCGGCGACTGCATCCGTGTCGTCTACCGTTGACTCCGCAGCTTCCTCCGTGCTTGGCTCGGTGCTGGCCACGTCGCATGCTTCCAGCGCGCCAGCGTCATCATCGCCATCTTGCATCGCGTCGTTGTCGGCAATGGCTTCTTCATCAAGACTGGTGACTTCAGTGGGTGCGTCTTCGGTTGGTTCTAGAGCAATTTTACATTACATGGACGCCATTCCGCGTTCTTTACCTTCGGCGAGGTCGGTCGCTTCGTTCGCCTCGGCGTCGAAGATGGGCTCTACCGGTAGCAAGCTCCATGAAGACTTCACGAGTCGAATCAAGTGTACCATCCGCAGCCTCGCTCTCGGCGCTCGCCTCGGCGTCGGCGGCCACGGCGTCCATGAGCGTCTCGTCCGCGTCGTCGGCCTCGTGCGCTGCCAATTCGCCGGCGAGTGTGTCAAAGTACGTTCCATCGTCGCTTCCCAAGTCTACGCAAAGACCAATGCTACGCGGTGATGCAAGTGGACGGACGTACGGCGAATCGTGGGCTCGGCCTCGACCTCGACATCCGCCGGCGACTCGACGATGCTCGCGTCTACGCCATCGCTCTGTCAGTTGCATCGCCATCATAGCTACGTCTCTACCTGCATCGAAGAACTCATCGGCGTCGTCTGGAGCCGTGGTTTCGGCTGCGCGGACGCCATCGTCGTCGCCGGCTGTCTCGTGCTTGGGGCTGCCCGCCTTCTTCCCGCGCTTCGCCTTGCGCGACTTGGCCTTGGTGACCGACCGACTCTCTACTCCTCCATGAGATCATCGGCCTCATCGTCGCATGGCCTCGTACGCGTCTCCATGCTCCAGTCGGCAACGAATCGGGATCTTGAGGCGCTGTGTAATTATAGGCGGTGAAACCAGAAGACACACCATTTGATTTCACCCTAATAGTGTGTGAATTCACTTGGGACAAACCTATATCGACGGGCAAAAGCCTCTGCGTCTGCACGACTAGAGCCTGCGGGACCCTATCTAGTATTGTCCACACGCTATATATGCATATACCTCTGGGTGCCACGCTGTCACCCAAACGTTTCTACCCCCGACCTCCTTGGCCGCGCATACTGTGGCACACAGTGCTGGTTTGTCCCAATGTCCCAACCGCGAGTGAGCGGTTCAGAAAACACTATATTCGTGTACCGTGAAACGGCGGTCGTATCCGGCGGATCGTCCGGATGCCAGAGCCACATTGCACCGATGGAGAGCTCGCTCGTGCTCCTCGGGCTGCTCCTGCTGCTCGTCCTCATCTCGCTGGCGCTGGACGCGACCCAATGCACGCTCCTCTCCAAGAGCGGTATGGCGCTGCTCGTCGGCGTGCTCTGCGGCCTTGCGATCGCAACGGACCCGGCCTTGTACCAGCGGCTCGGCTTCCAGTACACCATCTTTTTTGACGTGCTGCTGCCGCCCATCATTTACGAGGCGGGCTTCTCGGTGCAGCGCCTCGCCTTCTTTCAGAACGTCGGCGCCATCCTCCTCACGGCGATTCTCGGCACGCTCATCTCGGCCGGCGTCATAGGCCTCGGGCTCTACCTCGCTGGTCACGCCGGCGCCGGGCCGCAGCTCGAGTGGGTCGAAGCCTGTCTCTTTGGCGCACTCATTTCCGCGGTCGATCCTGTCGCGACGCTAGCGTGCTTTAGCAAGCTGCACGTGCCACCGCTCCTCTTCAACATTGTGTTTGGCGAAAGCGTCCTGAACGACGCCGTCGCAATCGCGCTCTACCAGTCGCTTCTCGCGTACGAGTCGTCCCGCTCGGTCTCACTTGGCGTGCTGCTCCAAGTGCTTCTCCAAACGTTTAGCATCTTGCTCGGGTCCATTGGCATCTCGATCGCGCTGCTGCTCAGCGGCGCCTACGGCTTTGCCCGCGTGCGCCACCTCCGACACTACCCCGTGTACGAGGTGCTCGTGTGTTTTCTGCTGGCTTTTCTGACCTACTTTGCCGCCGATGCGTGCCATCTCAGCGGCATTGTCGCGCTCTTCTTCTCTGGGATGCTCACCGCCCACTACATGTACCCGGTCATGTCGCCGCCAGGCCAAACGTTCTTTCACCACGCGCTCGAAGCTGCGGCGTTCGTCGCCGAGAGCCTCGTGTACGTATGCATGGGCGTCTCGGCCAGCCTCTGCTTTGTCCAAGTCGCCGACGCCGACAAGATCCATTACACCGACTTGGACTGGCGATTCGTCGCGTGGACGTGTGTGATGCTCCTCCTCGGGCGGGCCCTCAACACGTTCCCGCTCCTGCGCTGGGTCAACACCTACCGCGTGCCCTCGGTGCAGATCACGCGCCCGATGCTGCTTGTCATTTGGTTCACGGGCCTCCGCGGCGCCGTCTCGTTTGCGCTCGTCACCACGTGGTCGTATACCGATGCGAATGGCACGTCGCACCGCAAGCTCATGATGACGACAACGCTCTTTGTGGTCATGTCGACCACGTGGCTGATTGGCGGTATGACGGGTCCGCTCCTCCGAGCACTTAACCTCTCCCAGCGCCCGACGCCACCAGCTCTCTCGTCGGACCGACTCGCGGTTTTGCCCGAATGCGACCACGAGACGGCGAAGCCGGTGCCGGTGCGCCACCGGTCGGTAAGCCAAGAGAGCTTGCGTATCGACGAGAGCGAGCGTCCGAGCGAAGCCGCGGCCGATGACGTAACCCACCAGAGTCGGCTGCACGCCCGCTTTGCCCGTATGATCGAGTGCTGGCATGCGTTTGATCAACAGCATTTGATGCCCGTGTTTGGCGCTGCATCGACGCGAGTGTCAGTGCACCGGCGACACCAAGAAGCAAGAAGTACAGCTTCGGTGGACGTCCATCTCGAAGCCACCGAGCCGACGACCATGCTCACAAGCGCCAACAGCTAATGCAGCTGCCACGACCATCGTGTGAAGAAGCAACAGAAGCATGTCGGTACCTGTCTCCTTCCCTTGACTCGACATTGATATAGTCGAATAACGACTAGACCAAACGACTAGTTTGTCTGCATAGAGATACGAGTATTTGGGTTATACGATGGTATCCTGATGACTCGAACGACTCGCAAAGGAGCTACGCTGCTTGACTGACGAGAGAATGGGCGACGTGCTAGCATTCTAGTTACTACAATGGTACTAGATTTATAGCGGGCTAGGGTCCTATAATTAGGACTCTCGAGGTCACAACGGACCGGGCGCAAGCAGAGGATGCACACGCCTGCCGTCTTTTACGTCCGGCCGCTGCTCTGGGACGAGCTCAAGCGATCGGCCAACCCGGCTGAAATCAACGAGCTCCGGCATGTCCTTGGCACGCGCTACATTGACGAGAACGAGGTCCGACTCTCGATCCCCATGGCGAAGCGCTCACATCGAGCTAGGGGCTCAACAAGGAGCTGCAGGCGTTTGTTCAGATCTTAGGGGACTACCAGCGCCAAAACGATTGCATTCGAGTACGCGTCTCGATGCATGCGAGATCCACGAGTGGGATGTAGGAGGCGATCGTGAGTCGACCGGCGCTGCCCGAGCCCCCAGGCCGCGCTCTGCTCCTCGACCAGCTCAAGCTTCTCGCAAGCAATCTTACCGAGAAGAACAAACCGCTGCTGCTGCGCTCGGAGCGCGATAAGGCGCTCTTTGGCTACATCCTGCACGCTCAGGACGAGGAGCAGCAGAACGAGTCGTCATTCGCGTCGTCATCGGGGCTCGTGACACCGCGCATGAAGGACTATCACGTCTCCGTGTACCCACCGAGCGACCAAGGCGTCTTGATACGCCCGGGCACGGCCGACAAGAAGCGACCGTCGACGGCGCAGTCGCGGCCACCGTCGCGGAGCGGCCTGCTCTCACGCGGCTCGACGGCGTCGATCGCGTCGGCCCCCGCGGTCCTTGAAGACCTCGTGCGTTCTCACGTCGACATGTGCTGTTCCGAGAGATGCTGGACTAGGGCTGCGTCGACATTCGACAAATTGACGCCGTCAAGGACAAGCTACGGGACGCGCTTCTCGAGGAAAACTCCCAGCTCCTCGACGACATTGACTTTATCCAGGTTGATACATTGATACAATAGACCGCGCTCATGGCTCACTAGGGGTGCTTGGACATGGAGCAAGATCTGATCGAAGAAGACACGCGCAAGGCCCCGGCGCCGCTGCCGTCGATGAAGGACCTCAACGACTTTCGAAGAGCTTTGGAAGAGGCGTGGATAGACCAAGTAGACACAAACATGCAGCCTGTAAGCATCCTATGGATATTCTATAGGACGAGCAAGCGCAGCTCCAGGACCGCATGGCCAAGGCAGATGAGACAATCGAGCGCCGAAGGCTCGGGCTCGACGAGTGCAAGCCCAAGCCACCGCCGAGCGACGCGCCGCGGGGCGCTCGACCCACACCCGGCGCACCCAAGAAGCGGTCGTCGAGTTTCAAGGTGCACCGCGTGCGCGAACTCGTCCAGAACGTTCGCGACGAGCCGTTCTTGAGTTAGAGATAGCTTGGTGTACAATCAAAGACTACTAGTGTACAATCAAAGACTACTATTTAGTTGCTGCATGGCCTTTCTTCGCCGTCCGACCCTGTCACGGTCATCTCGCCGGCAGCCATCGCCGTGGATGGCCAAGATGCAGCTACATGAGCTATGCATTGACTATCAGCGCTCATGCGACTGCTTGGTGTGCGCGGTCTCGCCCTGGCAGCGCGACGCCCACGCCCGTCGTCGAGTAGAGAACATGCAATACAAAAGAGATGGGATTTCCGTCATCGTACAAGCCATACAGCGCCGCCTACCAGCCCTTGTCCAAGTCTTCGGCGGGCACAACAAGGAGGAGGTTTTGCCAATTGTTTTGCTTCCACGTCAGTTGGAATGTGACCATCCACGCCACAAAGACGCATGTGACGACGACAAAGCCGACAGCCGACCGGCGCACCCCTACATCTCATGGCATGAGCTATATTCGCAGAGCAACGCGCGTACAGAGCGTCGTCGTCGGGTCGAGCGTCGCATCGAGCAGCTGGCGGCGGTAGAAGAAGGCGTTGACTGCCCACAGCCACGGCAGGAAGGCGAGGCCGCCGAAGAACATCTTGCGCGCAATGGCGCTGTCGTCCTCCTTGGCGAGGTTGCGCGTAAAGTTGCCGCGGTTGTTGCCCGCGTCCTCGGGCGGCCGCGCCTCCTCGAGCACCGGGACGCTGTTCCGTGCCATGGTCGCGAGAGGTTCAGTTGTGCCAACGTTGGGATTTGTATTTTATTTTATTTCGAAGAGCTTGGTCAAGTGACTTGGTGTTTGTATACTGCGGGATTGCCGGCTGGTGTTCGATGTGTCAAGATATGGCGCGCGCCACATTTACCGCGTTCTATTCGTGGCAAAACGATGGACTTGCCACCTTGTGGGGATCTTGGATCCTCGACAACTGCAACGCACGGAGAGCTTGAACGCCCTTGATCGAAGAGACCATCGCGAGGTGTTAGTGTATTTGCGAGCAGCAAATTTATTCGACCAGTGAGTCGACTCGGTGTCGGCAAAATTTAGGTTTTGCATTTTGAAATTATGACAATCGCACACAATAAGTGTAATTTTGCGGAGCCTTTCGCTTGCCAATAGCATTATCCTCCGGTTCCTTGCCCCTTGCCAATATGAACAATCCATGGCCTTGAAAGCTTGCGAGGAAGAGCAGCGTTCTTCCCACAGGCTCAAGATGCGGCCTGTTGGCGACGTTGATTGGTTGAAACGATGTGAAATTGCAAATAATTCCAACCAATCCAAATCGCGTTTGCAGCACGTGGTCGACTTCAAGCATGCAGCAGCAACGCACGCTCCGTCGCGCGGTGCGCCTCTCGGGCATTGGCCTGCATCTGGGCGAGACGGTACTTGACGCCTGGCGCAGCGATCAGCTCAGACGCCCGGCGTACGTAGGCGAAGATTGTGCTGCACCCGGCGCCAGCGCACACGGGCATAAGGTTCCAAGACCCTCACACGCCGACCAAGGCCGTGGCCGCGACGTACGAGCACGTCCAGCGTGACACGTTTGGATTTTGCACGCGGCTGCACGACGCGTCCTCTGGCTACGCGATCGCCACGGTCGAGCACGTGCTGGCGGCGCTGAGCGCGTCTCGCATTCACAACTGCATTGTCGAAACGTCGGGGCCCGAGCTGCCAGTCTTTGACGGCAGCAGCCAGCCGATCCTCGCGGCAATTGCGGCCGTCGGCACCGAAGCGCAGGCGCCACTGCAGCCGTACATTGAGGTACTGCGCCCCGTCTCGGTCGTGCAGAAGGACAAGGCAGCGTACCTCGTGCCGCGCCCGCCCGCGACCGCGCCCGAGCTCACCGTCTCGGTCGAGGTCGACTTCCGGCACAAAGGGCTGCCGCGAACGTGGCTGAGTGTGCCCCTTGAAGACTTTGCGGTGATCGCCAACGCGCGTACCTTTACGTTTCGTGAAGACATTGCGCAGCTGCAAACCATGGACTTGGCGCGCGGCGGCAGCTTGGACAATGCTGTGGTCTTTGACGAGGGCACGCCGCTTAACCCGGACGGCTTACGGTACCTACTGCCTCAAGCGTCCTCCGTCAACCTCGTTCTTATTGGTGTAGACACCCTATCGAGTGGGTCCAGCACAAGGCGCTCGACTGCTTTGGCGACTTGGCGCTCGCCGGCATGCCGCTGCACGGGCACTACACTGGCATTTGCCCTGGTCACGCCCTTACCCATGACTTGCTACTGGCGCTTTTCGCCTCCGAAACCAACTACCGGATCGTTCAATAGACAAGAGGGCGACCAAGTGTCAAGAACGGACTTGTCAAAGAGTGTTGCAGGTGGTAACCTACTACGCCGTTGGCTTGGCCGCACGCTTGGCACGGACGCGCTTGATTTCGCGCACAAGGCCAAAGCCAAAGGGCAGGACGAGCGGCAGCAATAGCGGCAAGTAGACCGCGTACAAATGCTCTTCGGGAAAGTAAAGTTGCGCGACCTAGCACCGGATTCAACGAGTCGGTGGTCGTGGGCTGTCGTACCATGGTCGAGTCGTAGTACGTGCCTTCAATGGCCTCGACTGCCGCACGCAGCGAGAGAAGCTGCGCTGCACAGTCGGCCGCGCGCCAGACGCTGTCTCGGTCTTCGAGCGCCGCGGTGATTGTGTGGATAGTGCGCAGTGTCGTGTCGACTTGGCGCTGGATGCGTGGCAGCACCGTCATTTGCGGCATGGCATCGACAAGCTTGGCCGTCGACGTGATCGCGGACAAGCTCGTGTGCCAGTGCCTACGCCATTGTGGCATCTTGCGCTTTCGTTTCATCAAGATCGCGTACTTGGTGAGCCAGACGCGGACGAGGAGATCGAGTTCCCAGTCGGCCAAACCCATGCCGGCGTCACCGACGGAGCGCAAGCCAAGCGCAGCGCGCAGCTGGGCGACAGCCACTTGCATCATGCGGTGCACCTCGTCGATTGGCGCTGCGAGCGGGTTGAGGACCGTGACGCCGCCATAGCCAGGGATCAGAAACGACCGTTTCGAAGTCGATGTCGTGGCAGTCGGGCGGATCACGAGCGACGCATGGTCGGCCGACGGCAAGGCCGCCTACGCCGCATTGTCGACTTTGTCATACAAGGGACGCAGACCATAAAGTGGACGAGTTGCTCGCGGTCGTGGAGGATCGAGACGGTTGCAAAGTCGTTGGCGCTCTTAAACTAGAGAAACGGCGTTATCATGGTCGTCGCAAAGGCTTTGTACGTACTTGCTGAAGGTCGCTTGCCGTGACAAAGTGCGTCTGCGTTGCTTCGTCGTAGCCATAGTCCTATGCGTGCATGAGGTCATGACGCCGATATATATGCGGAAAGGACCGGCGCCAAGCGCGCGTAGTGGAGGGCTTGGGACTCGAGTGTGAAGGATGCAAGAGCCGAGAGTTTTGCGGCGAGCGGCTCGACGTACGCCATGGCAACCTCGCTGACGTGGGCGGCCCACGACGCGCTCTCCCAGCTGGGCACTTCGCTCAAGAGCGAGAGGCTCCAACGATACTTCAACGCGACGCGGATCGACGGGTCGCGATGGCCCCGAAACACGCGCTGCAAAAGCTCGCTTTGCGCAGACAACGAGAGCTCGCACGCGTCGGTCCAGCCGTGGCGATAGCTGCCCATCGTGATGGGCGCGCTATTGTCTTTGCTGCGACAGAGCACGAAGACCACCATCTCGCCGGCGAGGTTGGCGGCTTGCACCGCAGACAAGAGTTGGCGATCCACATCATGGCTATCGAGCGCTGGCAGTGCGTCGACACGCAGCTGGGCGTTGGGCGCCGTAGCGAACGCCCGGCCCGCCCAGAGCGTGATGCGCTCGGCGTTCCGCAGCTTGGTCTGTAGCGCGGCTTCAAGCGAGGCGACGTCGAGCGCAGCGATGGCCTCGAGCGGCAGCGCCGCACGCGGGACGCGCGTCAAGTGGTACGCGATGGGCGCGATGAAGACGACGAGCGGGATGAGCATGCTCACGAGCAGGGCGAGCCGGGTTCCGGCCATCGTCGCCTTGCCTGCTTTTGGATTGCACGTGGCAGCCTTTCATAATGCATACGCGGATCGAAAACCTGTGACATTGCATATTCGAAAATAGCAAGCGTTTGCGAGCGTTAAAAAACGTTTTCAAGCGTTAACAAACGGTTGCGAGCGCTGGGACAGGCGGCGTCGGTGGCAGTTGCGAGTGGTTTTGGCGCCACACGTGGCGAGTCGTCGTTGCTTTGCATCGGTGGTTGCTCGCAAAGCGAAACGACATATATTCTCGGCGTCCTTGCCGCCTAAATTTGAGTTTGAAATGATGCGGGAGTTTCGGCTTGCAGCGCCGAGACAGGCGACCCTCATATCCCAATTTGCCTCGAGCAACTATGAAAGTATTTCCGTACGGCCCGACGCTCTCACTCGTATTGCCGCTCTTGCTACTGAAAGCGCAGCGCACCGAGGCGCAGGAGGCGGGTGGTGTCGTCGGGGGCACGGCGCCCGACGGCGGCGTCGTCGCGCTCGAGTGCCCCGACGGTGAAATTCTTGGCAACGTCCTGTTTGCGTCGTACGGTCTCCCAACCGGCAACTTTCCCAAGTTTGCGCGCGGCGCGTGCAACGCCGACTTGTCGAATGCGGTCGTCGAGGCGCAGTGCATCGGGGCGCAGTCCTGCGAGCTCACGGCCGACGCGAGGTACTTTTGTCGTTGTGCTAGACACGGCTTTCTGACATAACTTAGTGTATTTGGCGACCCGTGCGTGGACCAAGCCAAGCATCTGAGCGTCGCGGTGCAATGTGTGAACGAAAACGTCATTGGCGGCAGCGCTGCCGAAGATTCGCTCTTGCGCCTCCGCTGCCCGGTCGACCGCGTCATTGGCGACGTGACCTTTGCTTCGTTCGGAACGCCGCAAGGCCACTTCCTCAACTACACGGTGGGCTCGTGTGACCAGCCGACGTCAGCGGCCACGGTTTCTGATCTCTGCGCCGGCCAAGAGGCGTGTGATATCATGGCGTCCACCACGTACGACAATATAAAGCTGACGACGTCGAACCGTATCTGGCTGTGTAGTGTCTTTGGCGACCCGTGCCCTGGCGAGGCCAAGTACCTCGGCCTGCAAGTCAACTGCGTCGACCCGGACGCGGCCCAAGGCACGGCGCAAGACGGGTCGTCGCTGAACCTTGCGTGTCCGTGGGGCGCCAGCATGGCGTCAGTCGACTTTGCTTCGTACGGCACGCCGAAAAACTACGTCGAAGGCACGTGCAGCGCGGCCACGTCATCGGGCGTTGTCGCGGCCGCGTGCGTCGGTCGACCGGTCTGCAACGTCGCTGTCGGCCCAAGGTGAGAGGTAGCTACCACGTGGTGTACTTAGGTATGTCTAGTGTGTTTGGCGACCCGTGCCCCGGCACCATCAAGACGCTGAGTGCGCGCGCCATGTGCACACCCAACTTGACGCCCGGCTTTGTCCAGAGCATGGGTCCGCAGGGCGGGTCGACGGTCGTCACTTGCTCCCGAGGTGAAATCATATCTGATATTCCATTTGCCTCGTACGGCACGCCGTCGGGCTTGGCGGCACCGAGCAAGTGCCACGCGGCGTCGAGCGCGTCGGTGGTCAAGGCCAAGTGCATTGGCAAGCGGTCGTGCACGGTCGACGCGACCAACGGGTACGTTTTGCATCTATCCTACGTATCGCGCTAATCCTATCGATATAGTCTCTTTGGCGATCCGTGCCCTGGCACCACCAAGAGCTTGTTCATTACGGCGCAGTGTTCGAGTGCCAACTTGGTCGGCGGCTCGGTGCCGGACGGCTCGACGCTCACGATCGCGTGTCCGCTCACGCAACGGCTCGTGTCGATCCCATACGCATCGTACGGGACGCCGACTGGTGCCTACCCAAACTTTGTGACCACGTGGTGCAATGCCACTGAGGCGGCGAGCCGCGTTACGACGGCTTGTGTCGGTCGCAACGCCTGCTCGGTCAATGCCGACAGCAAGTATGCTTCCTCTTCCGCTACGCTTGAGAAAGCTAACGCATGCGTAGCGACTTTGGTGATCCATGCCCAGGCGTCACCAAGCAGCTCTCGGTCGTCGCCAAGTGCGTCGACAACAACCTCATCGGCGGCTCGGTGGCGGACGGCGGCTCGGCGGTCATCCAGTGCCCGGCAGGCCAGTACATTGGCTCGATGCCGTTTGCAGCGTATGGGACACCGTACGGGACGTTTCCCGACTACTCGGTGCACGCAGCGTGCAACGCAGACGGTGCGGCCGCCAAGATTGCGACCCAGTGCGTTGGCCAAAACAGCTGCACCGTGGCCGTCTCCACGCAGTGCGTCCATCCTTGACTGCACCCAACCATCGCGCTCATGGCCTATATGGTGTAGCACATTTGGGGATCCGTGCGAGGGCCAAGCCAAGGTCCTTGATTGGACCGCGAAATGCGCGCCCAGCAATGTGATTGGCACGATTGTCAATGACGGCAGCAGCGCGACGCTGCAGTGCCCGCTCGGGTACTACATGTCGACCATCAACTTTGCGTCGTACGGGACACCCGGTGGCTACTTTCCCGATTACAGCATTGACTCGACGTGCCACGCTCCGAGTAGCACGTCGATTGCGACGTCGGCGTGCGTCGGCAAGAGCACGTGCACGCTCCTCGCTGGCCCCGGGTCGTTCTCGGACCCGTGTCCGGGCGTCGCCAAGAGCCTTGCCTTGTCGGCCGACTGCATCTCGAACCTTGTGATCGGCGGCACCGCGGCGCAAAATACGGTGATGAACCTCGCGTGCCCCAAGGGCGCGACCGTGCGCTCGATCGACTTTGCATCGTACGGCACGCCGACCGGGAAGCTCGGTGCGTTCGCGTTGAGCGCATGCAACGACCCCAATTCGGTCCGGATCGTGCAGCAGGCGTGTCTTGGCAAGACGGGCTGCTCCATCAGTGCGAGCAACAGTGTCTTTGTCAACAATTGCCGCCGCTCGCAAATGTACTTGGCCGTGCAAGCCACGTGTGCGACGCCGACGCCGGCGCCGACCGCGTTGCGCACGCCGACGCCCAGTTAAGCAAACGCCGTTCACGACGTTGCGTAATTCA